GGTAGGGGAAGCCCCGGGTGTGGGCAGGGATATCAGTACCCTCAGGGCCCGGGCACTGTCATTGTCTGAGAAGGAGAGTAGCAACCAAAGAAAACTAACCTTTTTGCTGAAAAAAACATATGAATGGAGTTGCTGGTTAATAAATATATGTAAACATGACCATTTAAAAAAAATGACAAAATTTATGGTTGCTCACAAGTGCTCAACAGTGTGTGTACACAACTAAAGGAGGTATGAGATGTATTAATATTACACAGCTCTAGTGTCTTTCAATTAAAAAAAAAGTGACAAAACTATATTACTAGGTGCTGGGAGGGTCATCTCTCTTGTGATGGAGCTGCTCTGAGGCTTTTTTTGGCTCACTTGTTGATAAGGGTTTCTTATGTAGGCTTTGCCTCGTTTTCTTGCAGCCCACTCACTATATATTTATGAAACAGAGAGCAAATGAAATGTTCTTCCAACAATGAAGCCATTAGTTGGGCCACATACCAAGCCCTCTTGCCACTATTGCATCCTAGCAGAACCATCACCACCCAGGCTGTACAGGAGCTATTCGTAGCTGCAGAGGAGGATACTGTGTTTGACCCCCACAAAAGAAGAACAAATATTTTGGGTTGGGTTTTTTTCTATAATGGTGTCATTTATCACTATGACACATATTCATTGACTTAATCTGATTTTTTTCGGTGTCAGATTTATACTTCTTTGCTGTTGTGAATATTGATGCGGCACTTCCCTTACGTGACTGTGCTGTGTCTGCCAAATGGTGTCTAGACGCTAGAGCAGCTTTGACTAATTAGTGTAGTCACCCCACTCACTCAGCTTTGGCATTTACATACGCTATATTACTGCTGTCGAGTCATAAATAGGTACCTAAACACAAGCAGCAACGTGAAGAGAGGTGGTAGTGAGTGTGTCTAGACTTCACCTAACATCACCGAGGTGAGCGCCAGGGACAGCAGCCATCACTCCCTGCGCTCACTAACAGGGCAAGTGGTTGTCACCACTCACTTGGACATCACAGCGTACGTGCGTGCGGTCAGTGGGAGGTCCGGATTCAGTGATGTTCTTGGTCTGAAGATCACCGCCACGAAGGCAAGGCTAAGAGAGAAGATTTCTCTCTCTCTCAGCTTAGCCCCTGTGTACCAGCAATTGAAGATACATACGGCCAGAGAGAAAAAAATAAGTATGAGAAATCAACCCCTGCCAGCCCAGCAACAGCGGTACTTCTTGGGGAGGACTCACGGCTGGTTTGTAGAGCTGCTTTCCAGTAGGCCATGATTTACACCAGAGCCAAACTGGAAATGCAGTTTTAGTTCTGCAACTTAATCATGTGTATCATGCTTTTAAATACTGCACCAGTACGGAAGTGGAGTTAACCAACTTTAAAGGGGGAAAACAGATAAATATCAAAGATAATTTCAGAACATCACAGAACTTTTACGAAACTTTGAGAATAAAAAAATAATGAAAAATTAATCAATGTTGCCTACGCAACAGGCTGTGCTAATATAACGTTAAATTGCCTCAAAAATTATATGCAGATTAAACACAATACTGCTATTAACAAAGCTTATTTGTAAGCAAAATTTGAAAGTTTTGATTTATCCTGCTGAGTATTTGAAGAACCACTATCATAATGAAAACAAATTAACTTGGTTTTCTTTGTATTCTTCACTGTTACAAATGATTTTACTGGTGCTAATACAAAGCATTAGAGAATAACAGGTTTGGGATTTTTTTTCTTCTCAGAAAGGATGTTGTATGAGCAGATTTTCTTTGAATTTGCCAATAGGATTATTCTTATTTTTTCAGTTAGTGGTATACAAAATATTTAAAGTAAGCTTTCCAGAAGATCTGCAGTTTGCTTTGAGGAGATTTTCCAGGGCTAAAATAGGACTCATTTAATTTGTGGGTTTTCTGCCCTACAAAGAGAGGAATTTTTTTCTTTCAAGGAAGAAGATTTCTGTGTGGTTCTCTTCAGTTCCTTTTTTTTGATGCAAGGGAAGTGAAAAAAATCATTAATGCTGCTGTGCACAAAGAGGATTTGTGATTCTTCAACAGAAAAAGAAATTAATAGTTTCTTTTAAATGTGATCCTGCTAGATGTTATGTGCAATACAAAACTGTCTCTATCCAGCCATCTAGCAAATAGATACACATATGTACACTGCACAGGTAAAATGGTGCGCACTTAAAGGCAAAAGAGTTGCAAGCTCTGAAAATGATGGAGTTATTTTATGGCAATTGGAGGTCTGCCTCTGTTTTTATTTGCTGACCTTAACTTTATCTCCAGTGGAAATGAATCCACATAAGTATCAGGTGTAGTTAACAGCTCAGGAGAGAGTGAGAACTTCGATAGTGTGAAGTCTGGATGAATCACTAGGGAGAGGGTGTTTGATGATGCCCAGTCATGTTTGGTCCAGAGCTATCTGAACTATATTTGGCTTATGAAAACTTAAACATGCAACATTGTCAGATCATTACCTTTTATGACCACAAAAATTCTTCATAAATTAACACAGAAATGAAGCTGTATGCAAGAGGGATCAGCAACGCAATTTTTAGCCTCCTTTAGAGTTTACAAAAAATAAATTCTTTAAGCAGACTGGGTAGTAAATGGCTGGTATTATTCCATAGTTATCAGTCCTTAAAAATATTTAGAGAAGAGCAACATATTAAAATGATCTCTGGACCAATGCACCTTATAATCTAAGGGAGAACTGGACATTTAAGAACGATGAAATGATTGTAAGAAATGTTTTCAGGATTTTCAAGATGCTGATCATATAACTGCAGCTCCAAAAAGATTTATTTTTGGTCACATAAACAATGAAATTTAAATCTGAGAAGCCACTTTGTTTTAGAAACGCAGAACTGCTGCACATAGAGTAGGCTTGCTCCTTCTGCCATGGCAAAGGCTTTTCCTGCTAGGTAGATGTAATAGGCACTCTTCTGTCCTAAAACAGATTTCATCCAGGTATTAGTAGAATTTGTAAAAACCTTAACAACCGACAACTGCCTTTGTTCCTAATTCCTTAGAAGGCTGGATCCGAGCCACTGTCTTAGTTTTGGCTGAGAGAGGAATCACTGCAGTGTCATAGAGTTTCCTTGCCCAGATTTTCTTCATGGTGCTGCTATTTATCTCTTCCCATACCTTGGAATCCATTTTTTCTCAGCCTGTCCCTTGGTAGGCACAGTATGTATTCACCAGCAAAGTAGAAATTTTATGGAAATTTAGAAATTTATGTATACGTATAGGGTATCTTGCAGGATCGGTAGAGAGATTGACTGTTAAAAGCTATTAAAGGCAACTGGCTACAGATGTACATCTCAAGGTTAAATAAGGGAAGGGAGGGAGTGTAAATCTTACAGTTGACTGTGGTTTAAAGGCAACCATGGATTTGCTGGTGTCAGTACAGTTAGGGAAGGATGGAACTAAAAAGAGGTAATGAGAATAGCTCAGATAAATTCAGGTACAGTTTGCATACGGTCTATTTATAGGATGCTTTCTCAAACTAAACCTGTGAACCTTTTGAAGTTTGCCCGTCACTACTTTCAGGCCAATTAATGATGTACAGCCAATCCCATTCCGAGACAGGTAAAACAATAAAGCAAGCAAAGATAATTAGTCTCTGGAGCATGTAAACAAATACAGTAAATCACTTGCAAATCACTTGTTTCTGCTAACTGTTGTGTTTTTATTGCAAAAGTGAAGAAGAGCATTTGTATCGCAAATCTACATAATGCGAGAGCAGTGCTGAAAATGCATAGATTATATTATTCTGATTTTGAGAGGGCTTAGCAAAGATAAAGCACCTGAACTTGAAACATCACTGTGAGTTGTTATATGCAAAAGAACATTTGCATCCCTTTTTCACAGAAGAGAAGATTGAAGTAGGGAGGTTAAAGACTTTTGTATATGGAGATAAAGGTCTAAATGACATTTTATAAATAGACAAAAGTCACTGCTCCAAGTGTACAAGTCTAAGTGGAAGCAGTGGTGGAGCTGAGAAGAGCACGCCATGACGGGCAGGAGAGCGGCTGTAGGATGTGGGACCTTGACCCACCTCAGTGATGCCTCTCAAGTTTTACAGACCTGAATGGGAGCATTTTGTGGCCTTCAAAGTGCAAATAACTAGAAGTGTTCCTGGCTGCTAGTCCTTTTTTTTTTGTTTTCCAACATAGTATTAATCTGTTAATTGCAATACAGCTTCAGTCCTAGACTTAAAGCACTCTGTATAAGCAAGCAGTGCTCTCCACCCCTTGGGCGTGGGGTAGCTGAGGTAGGTAAGGATAATACGGTCATTCAGTGGCAGAACTGGATGCGGAGCACACATTGCCTTCTTCTCAGCCCTGAGCTCGATACTGTAGACTTCGGATAAATGCACATTTTCCAAGAACAAATAGATTCTCAGTACCGTGGCTCTGGGGGGCTGTGGAGACCATGCCATCTGGATCTGCCTGCTACCCCAGTTCCGCCAGCTGGTTCTGCAGGCCAGTCCAGAGCAGGAGTGAGCCCATTCCCTGGAAACTCGGGGCAGTACCGACGCAGGTCCTGCCTCAAGTCGTGTAGTAAGAGGACTCTGTGAGCACAAACATACAGTTTTGTGTAATCAGTGAAACAGCAGAAGCTATGTTCTGTTCCTGTAGAATAACAGATTCCGGTTAGAGTTCAGATCCAGGCAAAATGACTGCTCGTATGATAAAATCCCTCTTTGTGTTTTTTTGGCATGAAAATGCAGAGCATTTCTTTTAGTAAAGGGTAGGCATTTCCCTGTTGTTCTGTCCCTTTGTACTGTTTTCTTGAACTATTTTGTTCTGACTTCAAAAATGGGTTCTAGAAAGAGATGCGGCTTAGACTCTCGTCAGCTGAAATGTGTCCAATACATATTTAAGTTAAAGAATAATAAGCCTTGTCCAGAAATAAAAAGAGTGTAAAAAGTAAGAATGCCTGCAGGTTTGATTTTTAAAGATAACGCATTTTTCTTCATGTTGCAGATCTCGCCTTGCAGATTTCTTCACAAACTGCCAGCCCGAGTCACGGTCTGTTAGTAGCTGTCTAAAGGAGAACTACGCTGACTGCCTCCTCGCTTACTCGGGGCTTATCGGTAAGAAGGCGGGGAAGGGTGGGGGCTTGCTCAGTCTAAGAAAAACACCCGAACTTTATTTTAAAGGTGCACATGAAATAAAAGCTGTGGAATATAATACTGTGCAGCATGATACTAGGCAAAATTCTCTAGCTAGGGGTCTTGGCTCTGTTTTACCTTACAGAGATTCCTGGGGTAAACTTGTACATTGCAAGGAAATTAAGGGTAGAAGATAAGGAGAGAAAGATGCTTGAATTTAAAATAAATTTAAATATAAATTTAAATATAAATTTAAATATAAATTTAAAATAAATTGAAGCTTACAATGTAAAGCTTGATAGGGTGATTGAATCTGGACAGGACCATGATGTAGGAAATTAAAAAGAACAAGTACAACTACAGCTTGGTTGATTTGGCAGCTGTCGTCACAAGACTGGGTAAATACCTCTTGATCTTCAGGGAAAGTGTGCAGGACATTTGAGGAAGGAGACAATAGAGCAACCCAGCCTTGTCTCACTTCCAGCAGCTATTCTTTCCATGACGTCCCTCTGTCCACTCTAAATGTTTTCTGAGATGCCTGTCAATGGAGGTGAACTGAGACCAAATTTATCTTCAGAAATCCTCTTCCCTCCCCAACATCATTAATTTTATTTGCTGTCACCTTCCTGACTGCCAGCAGGCACAAGGATGCCTTTATGCAAGCCAGATTCCATATACCACACGCAATATTTGATTCCTGAAAGAGAGAGATCATCTCAGGAAGGTGAACTTTTAAAAATACCCTGGTTGGGCAATAAAGAAAAAGTGAATGTCAAAATTCTGAAACAAACAAATTGTAAAGGCCACCAGTTAAGAAGTTTCTAAGCTTACAGCCTGCACCTGCTGCGATGCAGTAATATCCCCTTCTGTTGGGCGTGAAGGTCCCAGCTGAGGCCCTGCAGCAGATCCTGCTGTTAAATAAATGTCTCTGGAGATAATATCCACAATAAAATATTTCTAAAATAGGCTGGGTTTGCTGAAAAATGACTGAGAGCAATATTCTCTGGCTTGTTGTTATCATTCCTATTACTCTAGCAGCTAACAAGTGAGGTAAGTCCATGTGGCAACTGGTAAAATAAGATGTGATGGTTTCAAAGGATATGCTTCTATGACTTAAGAGAAGAAGACAGTATGCGAAGGGTATAACATATGAACGGTTGTGACAGAATGTCATTTGACTCTAAAACAAAGAATTGAATAGCCTTGAAATCTGATCTAGTCAATGAGATTAAGAAGTCTAGCTGCTGGCAAAGAGTAACTGTTACTAATATATACTTCTGGGTAAGAGCTGCCAAGAAGTTCTTGCTGGACCTAGTGAATTTTGCTGGCAATTTTGCTGGATCCATTTTTCAGTTTAACCCCAAGGATGACCCAGTTCCTATAGTCAGACGGCTTTGTGTTACTGTGGATGTCCATGCTGCAAAACACTGTCACACATTAGAAATGTGGAGCGGATCTCTAAGGAGCCGAAATCAAAAGGAGAGCTAATTTTCAAAGGGAAAAATAAACATTTTCCTTCCTTCCTACTAGCCCCTAGACACATGCAAAGAGACAGGAACTGACTAACGTTACAAGGATTTTTACGTCTTGGTAGTAATTCTGATAAACCAAGAAAATTACCAAAACAAAACTTTCATGTGCTGAAGCAGTAAATTCCTACTTCTGATATCAAGCTTATATAAAAGTGGAGTAAATTGTGTGAAGACCATCAAATTTGTAAGATGCTGAGACAGAAATCAGAAGTACAATCTTTCAAATGTCTGCTTAATGTAGATAAAACACAGGAAAAAGAGATAGATCGGGTGCTGGTAAGAAGCTGCTACAGATCCATTTATTCATCAGAACTTCAGGATCTCCAGGTGTTTTAATTAAGATAAAATATTGTTCATTAAAAAAAAATATTATTTCATTTAGCCATTTCACGAAATGTAACAAAAATTGCACCTCCATAGAGTTTGTTCAGAAAATTGAGGATTTTCTGTGGAAGGTACAGTGGATGTGATTCTGCTGACACATACAGTGATGTAAATCAGAGTTAGCTTCACTGAAATCAGTGGAATCCCACCTGAAATGAATGACTTAAGTGGAAATAGAGTCAGGCACAGTTTTTGCGTGAGGTGCTTTGCAAGTTAAATTGAGAACAGTGTACATAGGGTGCCTTAAGGTTTGCATCAGGGTGTTATATATATAATTTTAAAGATTTTTAAAAAATTAAAGGAAAAATATAAAAATTATTAAATATAGAAAAAAATGTAGAATAAGACTAGAGATAGCCATGTCTGAGTTTTAGTGCTTTGGTTACAGCCCAGTTAAGCCATCTGGACCCGTCTGCACTCCCACATCAGTTAGGCATTGCTCTAACTGCTAACTTCAAGATCGGCTTTAGCATTCACTTTCTGACGCTTTTTCCCTTATTTTTGGTGAAATCCATCTAATTTGCCTGGGATTCCCAGGAATTCCAAGACACTTTGTGTGAATAAACTGGAGCTGATTTGGGCCAAAGGAACTTCAGTCACGTGCCTCTCCTCCTGGACTCACCATCCATCTTCTCATTCTTAAATGACCCTAATTTGAGCAACCTCTTGGCTGTGTTCAGGTCATTTCTGTTTTTGTCTAAAACAGGGAGACCTGACTGCCTACTGTTAAGACCATCACCGAACTATTTGATACGTAGAACACAGAAAACCAAACATGTCCTATTTTACTGCCAACCACCATGGTTTCTCTGATCTGTTAGTGTCCTTCAGC